CATTTAAAGGTTTGGGGGGGGGGGGGTTGGGAGACAGAGTGTAACTTCTCGGGTTTAAGAAGCAATTAAAGAATATGTATATCTTCTTTTCTGAGACATGTTTAAGGAATCAAAGAGCTAAAATGAGGTAAAAATCCTTAGAGAAAAAGTCTATAGCCTTGAAAGGGAAGATTCTTAACACAACTTTTAATTGTACTGATTTCAAAGAGTGAATAACATTTACACAAAATGGTTCAGAAAACTTTAGTAACAGCAGGAGATTTGTTTAATTTAAACTTTAATAAATTAAAGGATTTTTTAAAGCAAAGGCTTACACGGTCACCTAACGTTCCCCTTCCTAATTCACACAAAAAGCAAAGGCTATGAGACTGAAATACAATAATAATTGCTACACGGGATGTTCAATGAGAGCTATGCTTGAAAAATGCTGCCTTTCTCCCTCCCCCCAAAAATCCTATTGAGTCCATACTATGGGAGACTTCCACCTCTGCCCGAAAAAAATAGCATCCTCCGGCTTCTGTGGCTGTGGTACACCAAGCTGCTGAGAGCTTACTCCTCTAAAGTGAAGGATCCCTACAAGGTGTCTCAAAATGGAAATGCTCAGGCAGTGTGTCTCTGCCTCTCAGGGCAAGAGGTAACAAGTTCAACCTGTGAAGTAGAACAGTTTCTGCCCCAGAGCAAGAGAAGAGATAAAATACAGGAGGAGCCTTCTGATGAATTCTCTCTTACTCCGAGTTAATGCGGGCATCCAGGAACAATGGCCCCATCCAACCAGAGTTGAAGCCTCCATTCACAGCCCTGCACTCCACGCCCAGAGAACGAACAATGGGCCATTCTCATCCCTTCCCAACCAGTCCTGGCCTTTCAACAAGCCTCCTCCGTGGAGAGCTTCTTCCCTTCCAGTGTCCTTTGATTAAAGCACACTTTTGATCCCACTGGAGTCTTATTTTTATTATTTATTATGTCAAGAGCGAAGCTAACATTAAAGGAAAGTTCAAATCACTGAACTGAATCTTCAATATCTTTAGTTTATAATCAAGGTTAGAAGAGTCAATTCTATCTTAAGGAACCACTAGAAGACAATGTAATGATTAAATTGTGGAATCCTGGCACCAACTGATTCACGCAATGTGGTTGGTTACTTAGACCCTGGCACCAACTGATTCACGCAATGTGGTTGATTACTTAGACCCAATTAGGAAGGGTTTCTACAGGGTATGAAGCTAGTAGTAGACAAAAACAAAACAGCAAAAACCCTGAAGACCTGGACAGGTGATGGGATGCAAATGAGAAGCCACTGGGAACTTTCCCCAAGAGAAGATGCAGATATGCAAATGAACATACCCCAGAGAAAGGTAGAAACCAGCTGTACCCACATAAAGCACCCAGATGCACTCTAAATGGCCAAGACATTTAGAGTCATGGGTCATTAGAGTCATTAGAGGCTGGGTGGCACAGGTCCAAGGGTAGAAGACTCAAACAGAATCCTTCAGAGTATTTTAAGTAGGAACATTCTAAAATGTGGAAGGAATATTCTAGAAATACTACCACAGCAAATAAGATGAAGCAAATCGCATGGGAAAGGCAGTGTGTTAATCCAGCCATAAAAGGTAAAGGAGTGTCAGAAAACATATATACTTAAACAATCTGGTAATAGGGACAAAAGGAGAGAACAGAAACTGCAGGAAAAGAAGCGAACTTGTTAAATAAAGCATGGTGCAAAAGGAAACAGGTGAAAGTCATGGTCCAGGCAAGGAAAAAAACTTTCCACTCCTTGCTTACACCCAATAACTGAACATTCTCTGCCAGAGGGAGGGCCAATGTGTGTGTATGTTCTGTTAGCATCCCAAAGAACTAATAACCCTTTTTCATCACTTTGCCTCCATAGTAATGCCATCCCAGAAGACTAGTTCAGCATCTTTGAGAAAGCCTAGGATAAACTCACATAAGTAGATCCTTTGCCAAATCCCAAATTCCTGCTAAGAACAACATCTACACAATTTTAAACCATTACATCCTTAAAATTAATAAAATGGAAAAAGATGCATGCTGTACAAAGTAAAGCAACAGCAGGGTAGCACCAGATAAGTCCACCAGTTACTATCTTAAACATACTTCATAAATGAATATAGCGGTCCACAGGCAGAGCTTAGAGCCAAAACAATGAGTGAGATAGCTTCCCTTCTGTTCCTATGCGGGGCCTTCTGCACTCTGGAAGCCCTGGCAGTGTCCTCTTTTCATTATTCAAGAAATATTTATAGGGTGGGCCCCAGTGTGCCATCTCATCCACTGGAAATGTAAACCAGCAGTCTAGTGTCCTTTCAGGGCTATCAGCAACCCCCCCAATCCAGAAGTCAGCCATTCATTTTAAAAAAAAACAATTATGTTGTATAGGGTATCAACCCCTGTAGGAGATTAAGGGGGAAAAAAACTCTTACATGATTCACACCCTCTAGTCATTTACAATCCATGTAAATTACAGAGGCATACAAACAGATGCATAGAGCTAATGAATAATGCATGCTCAGGAAGTTAGTTCTGTAGGAACTGACCCAGGAGTTCACAGGAGGAATATATCAGTAAGCCAGCATAAAGCCAATAAAAGCCGAAATTAAAATACCATTTCTCAATTTAAATTGCCTGATCATTTTAAATACCCAAAATGATTAAAAGAGTGTAACCATTTAAACTACCATATTCTCATTATTGTGTTAATGCAATGAATAATAAAGAATTTTCCATATGAATTGTTTTCTGAATGTTAAATAATTTTTAAGAACTAAGTATTTTTATGACAGTATCTGTAACAACATTCTTTTGCAATGAACCATGAAGGCCTTCAAATTATAATATGTTTGTTTAATTACAATTTATACTAATCAGATCACTAGTCTAGTCTACCCTTAGTATCACTGAGTCAGAGAAGCTTCCCTGGGCAGTGGACATTCCTTAATGTGGAGACTTATCACTGGTCAAAGTGGTGTTCATAAGTGACGGTGAGTACTCGGCTGTAAATGGGACATCTATATCAACACCCGCCCTCCCCAATGCTTTGGGATCATCAAGAGAAAGGCAGCAGAGAGACTGAAAGAGCCAGAGGTAGTAGTAGACAGCCAGAGCTTCGCGGTATTTTCCAGACACGACTGGGCAGTTGCACACATGAACTCATTCATAGTGGCTGTGACTACCTGCCCAAGGCCTGTCACGAGTGTAAGGTGAAAGCAAAATCAAGTAGGGAAAAAAAATCCCTGTGTGTGTGTGTGTGTGTGTGTGTGTGTGTGTGTGTGTGTGTGTATTGGGGAGTCACAAAGTCCCACCCTAGCTAAGCCCAGCTAAAGAGAGAATAACAACTGGCCGCTGAGTCAGTATTATTCAAGGAGTCGGCCCCTGTGAGGCTACCCATGGTCCAATAGATTGTTTTATTCCCATGCATATACAGACACTACCTAGACTCAGAGAGAGAAAGAGACCATGAAATGAAAGAGAGTAGTGGGGTGGATTTGACTATATGCATGTATGAAAATTTCAAGCAATAAAAAGTGCTGGTAATTCAAAATTTAAGTATCAATACTCATCTTTTTGAAGTACCAGCTGTGACTCTACAGATATAACTGGTAAGTGGCAGTAGCCTGGTAAAGGGAAGCCATTCTACCAGATGACAGCATTCTGGGGCAGAACTGCTCATTTTCTTTCCCAAGTATAATTCTATGAAAATGGTACAGATGCCTGTATGTAGAGATGAAGGGGAAATGGATTCTTCAGAAGACCAAGACATTCTTCATTTTCTTTCTGAACGTTAGCCAGTGACGCTTTGCCCTGGGTTACTCTGGTGTCTACAAAGTCATACACTAATGATTAACTGACAGCTCAAGAAACAGACAAGGGCCATGCTGAAGTGATGGATTTCTGAGAATATCAACTAAACTGGAGAAGGCAGGCTCACTGTAGGGAAGATATCTCTTTTCTAGGATGTTCTCCAACACATCTTGGGGCCTCTATCAGTAATAACTTCACACTATGGCCCTTGAGACATGACTCTAGCTGAATGGGTCCGGCAAAGGCACTCAAGAGATTTGAAAGTGAAATAACCAGAACCTAAATGAACCCCCCCACAGAGCTGGCTTTGCCAAAGCTGAATGCAGGGACGCATAAGATGCTAGTTTTTGGTGACTCTCTGAGGGTTACAGAAAACTATGTTACAGGCAGTCAATAATTGAGAAACACAGAGACTAGCAGAGATGCAGCCGGGATGGCTGTGAAAACTTTCAGTTCCTGTTTCCAATCTCCTTTTGAGTACCAGCTGGCTTCTCATCCTGAGTATTTCATCTCCATGACATATTTTCTACTTTTGCTTAAACCAGCACCAGAATGGTTCTGTAATTTATTTAAAAAAAGGAATACTTTATTCTCAAAAATAATTTAATATCTGAAACAAGTTTTGTCCAGTGTTTTGTCCTCTCCACTCTTGTTTTTCTCTTTTACAGAATCTTCTAAGTTCTAGCTGGTTGCTCTATGCCCAGCCTTTTTTGCAGGGACACAGGGCAGCATGACTAGGCTTGGTCTAATAGTATGTGAGAAAATAATTCAAGCAACTTTAAGATTAGCTCCTGTAGATAGGCACCTCCCAGCTAACCGTCTTTCAGTTAGTTACTCCCATACTGGAGAATGACAATGACCGGAATAGCAGGAATTGTGGCTTGACAGAGTCAATCTAACCAACAAACGTCATAGAATCTCATGATAAAAGATTCTATCATTATCCTAGAACTGCTTGCTTAACTTTACAATAGCAACATAAAAGCAAAATAAACTTCTATTTGAAACCCAACACGTCTGTAAACAATGAGCCCGAAGCTACAATTTATAACAAGTGTCAGTCACTTATACTAACCAAAAGGTGATATTTTGGTCATTTTTGAGGTTCACATAGGGTTATTGTTTTTCATACAATTAAGTATGAGACTCTCCGTAATCAATACTGAGAGGTTGTCATAACAGACCTTCAGAATACACGCAGAGCTGGCTGAGCAGTGAATATGTGAGTAGCAATTCTCATTCCAGGATGAAAAGCTGAATGAAGTGCAACATGAAAGAGACAAGCATCCATCCTGGGTTTCCCAGCTGGAAGCAGATAGAGAAAACATGTTTAGTGACTGAAATTTCTGAAGTCTAAATCAAGAAACTGAGTAGATGTCTTGCCAGCTTCAATCCTGTACATCACCACTTGCTGTGTACATGATTGATGCTTCTATTAGGGAGCTGCGGGATCCTGGCATTAGGAGTGGGAATGGGAGGAGCCAGAGAAGTGAGGAAACCACCTTCCAGTTCTGCCAGCCATCACTATCTCTAGTTCTACACCACAGAGCATAATGGCCCAAATCATGTTAAGCACGGGTCTGGGCAGGAAAGGAAGACATTCCAGAGGAGACAAGAAGTGAGAAGCCTTCAGATATGCCTCCTTAGCCTGGTGGTTTTTGTTTGTATTCTTTGTTTGTTTGTTCGTTCATTTTACATACCAACCACAGTTCACCCCCTTCTCCTCTCCCCCCACTCTCCCCAATCCACCCCCATCCACTCCTCAGAAAGGGTAAAGCCGCTCAAGGGTAGTCAACAAAGCCTGGCACATTCAGTTAAGGCAAGACCAAGTTCCACTTCCCGTGAAGGTTGAGGAAGACATCCATTCATATGTATGAAATGGGCTTCAAAAAACAAGCTCATGCACTAGGGATAAATGCTGCTACCACTTCCAGAGGTCCCACAAGCAGACCAGGCTACAAAACTGTCTCCCACATGCAGAGGATCGTCCCATGCAGGCTCCCCAGCTGTTGGTCCAAAGTCTATGAGCTCCTGCAATTTGGGGCCAACTGTCTCTGTGGGTTTCTCAGTCATGATGTTGACCCCACCCCCTCACCCTCCCAACCCTCCTACCCCCGCTTTAATCATACAATCCAGGCACTGGGCCCAGCTACGGGAGTCCAGCCTGCTGTTTTGTACGTATTTATGGGTTCACCGCTGTTCTGGGAGTGAACAAAAGAAGAGACGGTATAAAGTCTCCACAGGTGTCTGGATTAACTTTAGGTGTGCATAAGGAAATGATACAAGATAACATAATTTGCTCAAAAATTGTGTATTTTGCCAATACAAATTAAATTGTAAATAAAATTGACAGGAATACATGTTGGTTCTATAACATTGGGCTACAGGGATAAAGGGTTTATTGCTGCTGGGGGGTTTATAAGAGTGAGGTTATTACATTAATCTATTTGGCTAGTTGTGGTGCCCAGTTCATTTGACCAGTGACTAATTTAGGCCTTTCAATGAAGTGTTTTAGGTGTGACTAAAATTTAAAAAAAAAAAAAAAAAAAACTGTAGAAGAGCCTGGAACACATTCACATTGAACCAATTGAAACCTTAAGAGAAAAAGTGCCAAGGTTCACCAAAGGAAAAGCAATGCTGCTCAAGAACTACAACACAGAAAGCCTGCTCCCATAGGCCTGCAGTGGCTAGAAAGACTGCAAACTGTCTCTTACCCAAACCCTAGCCTGACAGGCCACCATGGTCAAACCAGGCAGTCCGTTAAAATCTCTCTCACCCACACTGGGTGTGAGTGTATGTTTCTCTATTTCTGTATCTCCAGATATTTCAATGCATATTTTTATCAACATGTTTCTCTATCTACACACACAAACACACACACTCATCACTAAGTAAAACTCAAACATGGCTAATAATAACAAAATACAAACAAAAACGTATATTAAATAATAACCACCGTTCCTCGTCAGCTTCAACATGGAGAAGAATTTATGCTGCATATAGTTTTCCCATTAATACCCATAAAAATAAAATGAATAAACAAATAATCCAAAATTGTTTCACACTAGTTCCCTTTTTTCATCATAAAAGTCTCGGAGACCTAATCTCTTTCCCTTCCCTTCCCAAGTGAGGGTCACTGTGTCATAATCAAATCTATGTTACCAAGAAAGTGGGCTGAACTGAAACACACAAATTCCACCTCTCCAGAAAGCTATCGGAAAACAGTACCCATGCCTTTGTTCTCCTACAGGAAGTAGTTAACATGGTCCACCCTGGAGGATATGCCCGGGTAGCCTTCAGCTTATAGCACAGGAAGGCCTCCCTTTCTGCACACATATGCAGGGTCACAACTGCTAGACAGACACATTTGCAGCCAACACCTTGAACTCAATGAGTTACAAGCAATTTTGTGAAGTCAGAGTATTTCAACCCAGGAACTAAGACCCTAGAGTCTAAAAGAAAAACTTTATTTGTTAGGGGACTCAGGAGATCTATTCAAGTCCCAAATAGTTTCTGGCACAAAAATACTCTCAGGAAATAAAGTGATTTGGGATTAATGTAAATCCATCTGCAAGAGTAAATTGAATCCATACCTTGATGGAATAGAATTCCCAACACTGACCCAAAACTAATACAAAACTCGGGTTGCTTAAAATTTTAAATGTTCACAAACTCTGATGACAAGTAATATAAAACTTCAAGATGAATGAATGGATGAAACTAGAAAAATGTCTACTAATTAAGGTAGCCCAAGAGAAACAAAGGCTAAATATTCTCTCTCATATGTGGATATTAGCTTAAATCTCTAACTTTGTAAGTCCAATTTAGAGATGCTGTGAAGACCAGAAATACAGAAATAGGCCACTGGTTGGGAGGCGGGTTAACAGAGATGGTAGTTAATGTATTGTAGGTGATATGAAAATAGAGAGAAGGAATACAGGGCCTTGAAAGGCTTAAGTAGGGAGGGAGTGAACACATTGGGAGACAAAGGGATGGGAAAAAGCTCAACTGAAATGAAAGGCTAGGAATAAACAATATGGAAAATTTAATTGGAAAGGATATACCCTGCATGACAAAGACAAAACAAACACAAACACACAACCAAATCAGCCTTCATCTTAAGCTACGGGTTATTAAACAAAAAAATCAATGCTAGATTTGTAATAGCTCCTTACAAGTTGTTGGTCAAGGAGGCCCTAGACTCTACAGACTTGAGGCCACCAAATGATTCCATGATTTTATCTTTACTCTTATTTGCCCACCAGAACTAGATGTTATGACTCTTTTTCTTGATGTGGCTATGTACTTTGGTTGTATGATATACCAAAGCCAAGCTGGAATTGAACTGGAAACTTCTTCCCTGCTGGGTTGTTTCAAAGTGCTACATGAAGAAAGGCTGGCTGGGGAGAAAAAGGCATCCGTGATTTTACCTAGATGTAAAGCTATCAACCAAACTACCAACCACCAGTCAAGATATGTATACCTGTGCAATAATGGCCTGGCCATTGTTGGGGTAAACAAATACCATTTTATTTCACTTGAGGCCTGTTCCCCAAGAGGTTATCCCACAGATATTACTGCAAACCCACTCAAAGCTCTATGGCAAAGAAGGTCATAGGACTTCAGGGGGAATTTAATTCTATTGTTTAGCTAAATTTACATAGATCCAATCATTTTGTAAATATGTATGTCTGTAATCATGAACAATTACTCTCAGCCTCAATCAGAGAAGTCTCTCCAGCAAACTGTTCTAAGACATTATAACTGCATAAAGTATTGAGGCTACATGATGAGACTACATGATGGTTGAATGCTCAGCCTTAAGCATGACATTTATATTACCTCCATGGATCATAGAATGATGCAGAAGTAGGGGGAAGGAATAAGGGCTGTGAAATGTCACTTCCTGGGCAACACAGAGGCATGTAGATCACAAACTCTCAAACTATGAGTGATTGCACTGGGATCAACAGCCAGCAAGGATGGAGGAGGCTCACAAGGAGTCCTGCTCTTCACTGCTGAACTAGTTTCTCTGCATAGATTCAGGGAAAGGGAGCACCATGGCCTTCAGCTGTGTTTCTGAAGGCTCCAATGCACATTTCTAATCCAAAGCACCCATACATCACCCTGATTAATCTAAATGAGTAACAAAATCAAAAGCCATGCCACTGAGAAAGAACTATGTAGGAGAAGTGAAGATTAAGAGCTACAGAGTGGTAAATAAATGTGGGGGAGTAAAATCAGAATGCATTATACACACACGAAATAGTCCAATGGCTAAATTATTTTTAAATCTCCAAAGGGGAAGAAGGAGAAAAATCTAGCCATTGCCACTTTGTGTTTTTGAGCACAGAATAAAGCTAAGAAAGTTGGTGACAAAAGGAAACAAACACTGACAAGAAATGAAAAGTATTTCCTTCCTGTTATGTAATTATGAAAAAACTTGAGTGGGAGTCTACCAGGATGATATACCTCACACAGTTGAATTGTATTTTTTTTAATTTTTTATTATTTTATTTTATATAACAGAGTCCAATTAAATGAAAACAAACATTTATACACAATATTTGGGAATGTGGGCGTTGTTCTTTCCAAACTACTTCCTGCTGGTAAGGGTCACTGTCATGGGGGATTCGAAGAAGATTCAGAAATCCTGGCTGTAGTCTGTAGGGCTGCTTTGTCCAGCTGTTTTGAATGTAGAATCACCTGGTACTCTGTTTCAGGTGGTCTGGCTTGATCAAACCACATTAGTCTGGAAGGAATCCACATCTTTTCATTTTCTGTGGAAACAAAAATAGAAATCCTTTTCCCCAGTAACTTGTCCTTCAACTTAAATTTTTGGAGTCAAAGCATTTTTTTTATTTAATTTATTATTTTACATGTCGATCCCAGTTCCCTCTCCTTTTTCAATATGGGTCTCAGCCAGAAGGACTGAGCAGTCTAAGAGACCTCAGACAGTGGAGCCAGGATGTATCCCTGGTGCACAAAAGGACTTTGCGAATATACCCCCATGGAGGGATAACTGCCTTAATCTAGAGACAGGAGAGAAGCCCTAGTCCCTACTTCACATGACCTGTCAGATCTACATGACCCCAAGTGGATGGCATTCCCCTACATATGGAATTGGAGTGGGGGAATGGGAGGGGAGGGTGGTTAGAGTGCATGTGAGAGGGCAGAGAGGATAAAAGGGAGGGAGGGAGGGATGGACGGAGGGAGGCAGTTGAATTGTATTTTAAAGAGTCGTTTTGACATATTTCTTGACAAGGGGATGTAATGAAGGAATTCTTTAAGCATGAAAAATTATA